AGCTCTGTCAGTCCATGTCTTGCTCTGGCTGCATTTCCAGGCTCTGGTCAGGCATAGAAATGCAGCCAGATTTACAATTACAAATAGAATCAGAAAGAGTGAGAGTAGCTCAGAACTGAGTTTGTGCTGCATTTCCTGGGTAATTTCACGAGCTAAGGAGCAAACAGAGCTGGCTGACAGGGGCCAGATGAGCAGCTGCAGCCCTTTGCCTGGTGTTTGTGTGCAGGCCCGAGGCATTAACCTGTCCTGTGTCCGCACCTGCGTGGTGGTGGCCGAGGAGCGGCCGCGCGTGTCCCTCACCCATTCCTTCTCCAAGCTCTTCAAGGACATCGGGCTCTCATCCCGGGCCGTGAGCACCACCTTTGGCTCCAGGGTCAACGTGGCCATCTGTCTGCAGGTGAGGCTTCCCAGGGCTCCTGGCTGGCGCTGGCACCAGGCTGCAGATGCCAGGCTGGGTTGTGTTCCACGCTCCCCATCTGGGCACGTTTCTGAAGCCCAACATCTGCCCTGCAGAGAACAGCTGGCACCAGATTGAAGCAGCTTCTCTCATTTTTCAGCTGCCAAATCGTATCACAGATGCTCAAAACAAGTGAAACATGAATCTGAGCTGTTTATTTCCACATAAACAGGGCTTGGGGTGTCTCCCCCCTCCCCAAGGCTCCTTCCCCACACAGGTGTCCCAGAAAGTCACCTGCTTACTGCAGGGTGCAGCTGCAAAGGTGGGGGAATATGAGGAGGAATTCTGCTGTAAGAAACCCCTGGAAATAGTTCTGGGCTCAGGCAGAAATTCCCCTGATTGCTCTAAACACATCAATGTTTTTTAAAAATTAACTCCTCAGGGAACATCGGGGCCAGATCCCACCACGGTGTACGTGGACCTGAAATCCTTGAGACATGACAGGTACTGTAAGTTCACTTAAACCAATTTATTAACTGTGTAAAACCCTGCAGTGGTGCTGTTTTCACACCACTCCAGACACTTCAGCTCTGGTTTTTCCCCTGACAATGTTTGTTTCTTGACCTTCAGAGTCCGTCTGGTGGAACGAGGAGCTCCCCAGAGCCTGCTGCTCTCTGAGTCTGGAAAGGTAAATCCACGTCTCCCCCCCTGCCACTGCCTCTGTAGCTGGGAAGGACAGTCCTGTGGCATGGGAGAGGGTGGCACTTGGTTACTTTGGCCCTCTGGAATTTGATTATAAGGAATTACCCATTGATTTAGGAGTGTGTTTTACTGGAGTTGTTGGGAGAATTGGTCCATTTTGCAGTAAATTCACCATGTCAGAAGTGTGGGCTCTGGTATTCTTGAAATCACGCTGTAGTTGGGATTTACTGTAGCTCTTACTCCCTCATAGCTTAACAGAAAAAGATTTTCCTGTAGTTTTTTTGCTGAATTCTTCAAAATCAAGGTCAGAATATCTTACCTGTGTGGCCCTGGAGCCATGGGATGCATCCATACCCTGATCTTGCCTTGCTGTGCCTGTCCTGCCTGTGTTTTCCCTGTTTGTGATGTCCATGGGTGCAGTCGTGCCCTGATTGAACAGCCTGTGTGTTTTATTGCACTGAATATAATTCAACAAGAATTGCACATTTCCTTTTTGTGCTCTTTAGATCCTGCCTGGGGTCAAGGTGGTCATTGTCAATCCAGAGACAAAAGGGCCTCTGGGAGATTCTCACCTTGGGGAGGTAAGTGCAGGTTTTGCTCCTTGGGGACCTTTTCCTGCTGCTCCTTGGGCTTTTCTCTGCTGGGGGACAGTTTGGAGCTGTGACACAGGCCTTTGTAAAAGATGAATTATTGCTGGGGCATTCTGAATTTGGGTATTATTTCACTGTCAAGTTTAAAGAAAACCCACTTGAAAAGAAGCTTGTTCCACCCTAAATCTTGCAAACTGGCTCTCAAATAGTATCATTTACATTTGGCTTTCCTTTCTTTGATTACACACCAGTATATTGATCTGTGTTGGTGGATTATTATCCAATTTTGGAGTGAATGTGTTAAAACCCCACAGTTTATTTACTCAGTGAATTCTCAGTTACAGTTACTGCAAGACTACACCTCAAGGTGCATTTTTAAGGTTCGGCAGGTTATTTGGAAGTTCAAGCTGAATTTTTCTGATCTGAAAAACCACAGATGAAACCAGAACCTTCTTGTTGCAGTTCCTTTACCCCCTCCCTGTGGGCATTCCTGGGCTCTGACCCTTTCCCTCCCTGCACAGATCTGGGTGAACAGCCCCCACACAGCCAGCGGCTACTACACCATCTACGACAACGAGACCCTTCAGGCCGACCACTTCAACACCCGCCTGAGCTTCGGCGACGCCGCGCAGACGCTNCTGTGTTGCAGATGTCCCACGCTGCCGTCAGTGGCCTGTGCAGGGCCATCAAGCTGCAGTGTGAGCTCTACTCCTCGCGGCAGATTGCCATTTGTCTGGACCCCTACTGCGGGCTGGGATTTGTGCTCTGGTGCCTTTGCAGGTAGGATTTTCTGGGCAGAGGGGCAGGTGAACTCCTGGCTGCTTGGAAATGGGAAATGGGTGTCATTACACACGTGTTGACATTGCAGAATGACTTAATTTACAGTAAAGGGGGAATTTGTCTTGGAGCTGACAACAACATGTTCCCTTTTGCTGCAGATTAGCAAGATGTTATCCCATCTTGATTATGTGTGTTTGTGCTGCCAAATATTCCTGGCTTCAGAGTGTTTCTCTTCCCTTTCTGCCTTGATTACATGTTGCAATAAGGGAGGTTTTGTTCTCTGTGGGGTTGAGCCAGTTCTCTTCCTTCACTGTCAGTGTGTGTTTGTGTGTGGATAAATTGTTATTCTTGTACAGTAAGTTGCATTTTTAAAATGTTGCTGCTCCAGTTTGCCTCAGCTGCAGTCCCACAACCTGCCTTTGGACTAGCAGGAATGTAATGTGCAGATACAGTAAATATTAATTTAAAGATAGCTACAAGCTTCACTAAAATGTTTTCTCCCTTAATGTTCTTCACAGTGTGTATTCTGGACATCAGTCAATTTTAATTCCTCCTATGGAGCTGGAATCCAATCTTTTTCTCTGGTTATCTACTGTCAGCCAGTATAAAATAAGGGACACTTTCTGTTCCTATTCAGTCATGGAACTGTGTACAAAGGGACTTGGAAACCAAGTTGAAATGTTAAAGGTAAGCAACATTTCCTGAGTGTTACATCACGTAAATTAAGGAAGCTGTGGTAGTAAAGCAAAGTGATATGATTGTTAAATTCAGATTTTCGTGTTGCACGAATGTCCAGGGCAGAGGTGCTGCAAAAGGAGATCTCCAAAAGGAAATCTCCAAAAGGAAATCTCCAAAAGGAGATCTCCAAAAGCAGATCTCCAAAAGGAAATCTCCAAAAGCAGATCTCCAAAAGGAAATCTCCAAAAGGAAATCTCCAAAAGGAGATCTCCAAAAGGAAATCTCCAAAAGGAAATCTCCAAAAGGAGATCTCGAAAAGGAAATCTCCAAAAGGAGATCTCCAAAAGCAAATCTCCAAAAGCAAATCTCCAAAAGGAGATCTCCAAAAGCAAATCTCCAAAAGGAAATCTCCAAAAG